CCCCAAAACCCCAAAACCCCAAAACCCCAAATACCTTCAACCCTAAAATATTTCGATCTAATCTCTGATCTATTACTAAACCTACCCATTTAAAGAACTTAACTGTCCGTGAGCAGGCAGAGGTTTCATTGAGGATAGGATTGTTTTGTTGTGCGGTAGGATCCCTGATGAGTTATCCTGCAGGTGCAGTGAGAAGGATGAAGAGTGCTGAGAAGATTTTTGAGAGCTCTTTTGTAAACTGGAAATTTTAGGTTGCTTAGGCTTCTTTCTAAGGATTGATTTTCTTTGACGCGATTCAGAAGAAGGTATATGGGCGCTGAACAAAAATGGATCAACCTGGTTTAGCAAATTTAAGTCAACTTCAGATAAAGGTTTGTGCTTATAAGTGTTTATCAACATATTAACTGACTCTTTGAAATTTGCTGAAGATTCTTGAGAGCTTGTCCGAGGAATTTTTAAGAAGCTAGGAGATGTTTCCTTAGCTCATTGGATGTTTCTTAAATTGCTGTAATCACAGAGAATACGCTGTTGAGTCGTGAGAATTGTTCTGAACAACGTCTCTTGCTGATGAATGGCAGAGATCAGACGTGTTACATTCATTTCAGACGAGTACTGCTTGAATCCTTCTGAATAAATTTGGTATTGTGAGTATTTGTTTTTGCATAATTTATTTGCACTTGAAAGGTCAGAATATGTTGTAAAGTCAATCTTTGGTGCTGAACCCGAACCTTCTAGTTTGCTTGAGCTTCTGGCGAAGAATATTAAATTTTTCATACTTTGAAATATCGTTTCTCAAACTTGCAGGGGGTTCATTGTTGGATTCTGAACTTCCCCCTTCTAATTCTTCGCTGTCATATTTTTGGTTCTCAGAAGAAAGATTTTTCTTGATTCTTGGACTTTGCTCTTGATTTGCTAGAATTTGTTCGACAGAGTTGATTCTCTGATGATCAGAAAGCGACTCGACTCTAGGCTCATAGATGTTGTTGTCTGCTTTTGTATCATAAACTGTGTATCACTTCGACAATATCGAGTGGTACATCATGTTTCTAGAATAGAACAGAACTCAAAATCCAATAATTTGATTCAATAAACTGTAAAACCCACCAAAGCTAGCCAACACTTCAAGAATTGTGAATACCTGTCTACTGTAGTAATTGATTCTGGAGTCTAGAAAAATCTCGAATGTAGCAAGTTCTGATGAGCTAGAATCTTGAAACCTCTGAGTTTTGCCTGCACTGGTAGTGTAGAAAGTGCTGTCTTTCTCACCATTAAGCATAAAGTAGTCATCAGATCTTGCCAATTCGTTCTTTGTTAAGAATATCTCTGCTTGGTGCACAAAATTAGCCTGCACTGGGTAAAAATATTCTTGTGTCAAGAATGTTTTCACCGGATGTGAAATACTATTCATGTCAAAGTAGCTATCGATCATCAGCACTTCAAGTTCTCTGAGTAATGCATCAGCATCGATTTCAGAATCAGTCTTACAGTCAACTGTCTTGGATGAGTTTCATTTGCGTAGCGATATTCTAACAGACTTTCTGACTGGAGAGTATCTGTTCCCTGAAACTGCAAAGTCTTTGTTTTTAATTCAGACATATTGGTTAATTTTGAATTCTTTGATTAAACTTGCTTCACTGTACGGAAAATCTGAACCGCATTTTTGGAGCTCCAGAGGAACCAACTGTTCGGTGATTATTCCACCATTGTTTGTTACAATTTTCTGGACTACTTCAAGTTCATACAGCTTCTGGTAAATTGGGTCTAACAAACTAGTGGTGTCACCTCTGAACCCAATAGCAATATCAAATCCGAATCGACCTGGAAACTCATCTTCATGATCGTTGGTCAGGTCTCTGACAATAGAATGAAATGTATAATTAATTCTGCTACGCTCAAACATCACTTTAAACAGATGAATCGAAAACAAAACCGAAATCACCAGAATAACTAAACTTCAGATGCCTCCAACAATGGTATTGAAGCTATTATCATCCTTATAAAACAATTGGATGGGAGAACCAAAGACATCGAGACTTTTGACAAACTCGGCTGTTTTAGTTCAGCATTTCGAAACCCAAAATGGTTGTTTCTTCATCTATATTATTTAAATATTATAATTTCTCTCCAAGATATTCAAAATATTTTCTCTCATACGGGGTTTTGGGGTTTTGGGGTTTTGGGGTTTTGGGG